GGGCCTCTGAGGAGGCCCCGCCGCCTTTGGGAAGGCCTTCTCCTCCTCACTTCCTCCCCCTCGCTCGCCGCCGGCTGTCTCTCGGAGGCGACGACAATCAGGCGATCGCAAACACGGATCAAAGGGGGCGCGGATTAGCGACGGGTCCCGTTTCCGTGGAAAATCGTGGATTTCCGCTGCCGAACGAGGCGACACCAGCCACATTTAGGGAATGTGTCGCGCGCCAGATCCATGGATCGCCAATCCATGTTTGCGCGCCCCCGAGACAAGGGGGCGAACAGCCCAGGCGGGAAGAGCGACACTTTTTCGTCGGCGGCTAGGCAGAGTTACTGCGCTGGCGAGGAGGCAAAATGGGGCTGCCGCGAAGCGAATTGTGCCACCATGCAAGAAGGGGGGAGGAGACAACGAAGCGACGGCCGAAGAGGAGGAAGCGGGCCGGGGCCGCTCAGGGGAACGGGACGCTTCCGGGGGCGCGTGCGTGGCGTGGCCGTCACCGCCGCGGGGCCAGCAGCAGCAGTAGCAGCGGGAAGAGCGACACACGCATCCAGGGGCGCCGATCGGTCCACGCCGTCGGCGAGGCTCCCATGGCGAAGACGTGTGCTGCGCCCTGGGCCGGGCTGCTCGCCCCCGCCGTCCCCGCCGAGTCTCGGGGTCGCCGGCGGCCCACTCTCGTCGAGCCTGGCCCGGGAGGGAGAAAAAACACAGGCGCAAAAGTAATCGTCGATGCCCAGGAGAAGATGGGAAGATTTGGGAAGTGTCGGGAGGGGGGAAGAAGAACGTCCAGAATGTATATATATATATGTATATATATATATATAGATGCATACGTCTGTCTGTCTGTCTGTTTGTATGTATGTACGTATGTATGTACGTACGTACGTATGCATGTACATATTTTATGTATTGTATGTATGTATATATGTATGCATGTATGTATGTATGTATGGATGGATGCATGCATGCATGTAGGTAGGTAGGTAGGTCGGTAGTTATGTATGCATGCATGCATGCATGCAGGCAGAGATGTATGTATGTATGTATGTATGTATGTCTGTATGTCTGTCTGTCTGTATGTATGTATGTATGTATGTATGTATTTATAATGTATATGTATATGTATATGTGTATATTTGTATATGTGTATGTCTGTATGTCTGTATGTCTGTATGTCTGTATGTCTGTATGTCTGTATGTCTGTATGTCTGTATGTCTGTATGTCTGTATGTCTGTATGTCTGTATGTCTGTATGTCTGTATGTCTGTATGTCTGTATGTCTGTATGCATGCATGCATGCATGCATGTATGCATGTATGCATGCATGTATGCATGTATGCATGTATGCATGTATGCATGTATGCACGTATGCATGTATGCATGTATGTATGTATGTATGTTTGTATGCATGTATATGTATGTATGTATGTATGTATGTATGCATGTATGCATGTATGCATATATGCATGTATGCATGTATGCATGTATGCATGTATGCATGTATGTATGCATGTATGCATGCATGTATATGCATGTATGCATGTATGCATGTATGTATGTATGTATGTATGTATGTATGTATGTATGTATGTATGTATGTATGTATGTATGTATGTATGTATGTATGTATGTATGTATGTATGTATGTATATATGTATAAACATATACATACATATCTATATGCACACTCATATATATATATATATATATATATATATATATATATATATACATACCCGCGCACGAGGCCCGGGCGCCTGGGGCCGCGACCCGGAGCGCGCATGGGGGGACCGGGGCCTCCGAGACCAGTCCCAGAGCACCACCGCCGAAGAGGCCCCCAACAGAGTCCCAGGACGGCCCCAGGGAGCCCGAAAATTGCCCGGGACGGGCCTCAGACGGCCCAAGAGAGCCCCAGGACAGGCCCAAGCTGGGCCCCAGAGCGGGAGCGGGAGGCCCCAAGGCGCTCCAAGACGGCCCAGATGGCCCCAACGTGGCCCAGATGGGCCCAACACGGCCAAGACACAGCCCAAGAGCCCTCCAAGAGGGCCCAAGAGAGCTTCGAGAGACGTCCCGAGAGAGCCCAACGAGGCCCAAATCATTGATATGCACTGGTCTGTTTGATGTTTTTCGTTTTCTCGCGTTCTCGAGCTTCCAATGCTCGAAGACGGCAGAGGACGCCCCGAAGAACGCCCCAAGACCGTCGAAGAGGCCTCAAGGGAGCTCCGAGAGGCGTCCCGAGAGAGCTCGAAGAGGCCCATATCCTTGATTTCCCGTTGTTATTTTCCAATGTTTTTCGCCTTCTCGCGTTCTCGAGCTTCCAACGCTCGAAGACGCCCGAAGACGCCCCGGAGATCGCCCCAAGACCGCCGAAGAGGCCCCCCAAAGAGCCCCAAGACGGCCCAGGAGAGCCTGAAGACCGCCCAAGAGCAGCCCAAGACTGCCCGAGAGAGCCCCAGGACAGGCCCAAGCTGGGCCACAGAGCGGGAGCTGGAGGCCCCAAGGCGCTCTAAGACGACCCTGATGGCCCCAACGTGGCCCCAGATGGGCCCAACACGGCCAATGCACAGCCCAAAAGCCCTCCAGGAGGCCCCTGAAAGCGCTCCGAGAGGCGTCCCGAGAGAGCTCGCAGAGGCCCATATCCTTGAGTTTCGGTAGCTTTCTTGCATGTTTTTCGCTTTCTCGCGTTCTCGAACTTCCAACGCTCCAAGACGGCCGAAGACGCTCCGAAGATCGCCCCAAGACCGCCGAAGAGGCCCTGAAAAGAGCCGCAAGACTGCCCAGGAGAGTCTGAAGATTGCCCAAGAGCAGCCCGAGACTGCTCAATATAATCTCAGGAGAGGCACAAGATGGGCCCCAGAGCGGGAGCGGGATGCCCCAAGGAGCTCCCGGACGGCCCAGATGAACCCGCCGTGGCCCAAGAGGAGCTCAAGATGGCAAACACACAGCGCAAGAGGCCTCCAAGGCTCAAGAGAGCCTCGAGAGACGTCCCGAGGGAGCCCAAAGGGGCCCAAATCATTGATATGCACTTTTTTTGTTCGATGTTTTTCGCTTTCTCGCGTTCTCGAGCTTCCAATGCTCGACGACGGCAGAAGACGCCCCCAAGACCGCCCCAAGACCGCCGAATAAGCACACACAAGACCCCCAAGACGGCCTCAGGGAGCCCGAGAATTGCCCAGGAGGAGCCCCAGACGGCCCAAGAGAGGCCCAGGACAAGCCCAAGCTGGGCCACAGAGCAGGAGCGGGGGACCCCAAGGCGCTCCAAGACGGCCCAGATGGCCCGGGCCTCCCCCGTCCGTCCCTCCTTCCCTCCTGCCCCCTCCCCTTGCCTCCATTCCCTCCTTTCTCCTCTTCCTTCCCTCCCTCACCCCTCAGCTTTGGTGCTTCTCCCTCCTCTCCTGGGACGGCCCCGCCAGAGCGCCAGACAAGCCCCGCCAGAGCGAGCGGGGCATCGCTATACCCTATCACTTCACGAGTTGCTTCTCCCTCTCCCACCCCTCAAGGGCGGCCCCTGCAGAGGGAGAGCGTTCTGACTGCGCGTCTCTCTGCGTCGATGGCATGGGCCCCAAAACGCTGGAAATCGTCGCTGGGATCACAGCGGGGCTTACAGCGGCCCCCGTGGCCCATCAGCGACTAGAACCTAAGCGCGCGCGTAGCGCGCGTGGTTCTAGTGTGTGTGTATATATATTTATGTATACACATACAATGGACAAATATTCACCGAGCGCGTTCCACTACTCGCAAAGTGCCTACTCGCAAACGTCCGAAAAACCTCGTGTCTCTTTTGATGTAATTTATCGTAGATCGTCCGCGGGGGATCCAGACCATTTGCGAGTAGTCACTTTGCGAGCAGTGGAACGCTCTCGTCTAAGTGTGTGGGGTCCTGGGTGTCTATTTTCTGGTGTGTCCCTGGGCCCCTCCGCTTGGCCGGGCCCAGGGACCGCCCCGCCATGAGCCGGTGAGGCGCACCGTCGTGGGCGTCCGTGGCTCCCGGCCGGCCGGTCCGCGCCGCAGTCGCTATCCCCCCCCTTTTGTTATCCCCCCCTTTCGCCTGGCCCGAAGGGGGGGGAGTGAGAAGGAGAAGGCCTTCTCTCAGAAGGCGAAAACCCACCCCCACCCCCACCCCCAGTCCCGACGCCCATCCCCGAGCCGGCGATTCAAGGGGTCGGGACCGGGGGAGGGGGTGAGCTTTCTCCATTCCTGGGCCCCGAAAACCTCCCACACCCCCAGTCCCGACTCCTTGAATCGCGGGTTCGGGGATGGGGTCGGGGCTGGGGGTGGGGGTGGGTTTTCGCCTTCTCCTTCTCAGAAGGCCGCGGGACGTCTCGGAAGCCCTCGCGCCTTTTCCGAAAGGTTTTCTGCGTCTTCGGGGGAGGCTTCGAAGACTCCTCAGAAGGCCGGGGGACTTCTGAGCCTTCTGTTCCGAGAAGGCCCGCCCCTCGCTCGCTTCTCCCCCTCGCGCGCCACGGAGTTGTGCTCCGCTCGGGGTCCTGTCGGGTTCCGGTGGTGCCGTCGCCGTGGGCGGCCTCGATAGTCGGCGCACCCTCCGAGTCTGGTCGGCATCCTGCCCTCGCCTTGCGAAGGCGGGCGACGCGATCTTCAAGAAGCTCGGCTGCCCTCCGCGGCCCATCGGGAGCCTCAGCGACTCCTTCCAGAACCTCAGCGCTGGCGGCCAGGCACGGGCGGGTGCCTGAGAGGAGGGGAGCGTGCCGACACTGGTGCCCTTTCCTAGGTCTCGCCTTTGCGGGCCTGCTGGGGGCGCACACATACCCGTTGCGCCAGAGCTGCTTCCCCCCGTCCTTCGGAGGAGGAAGAGGTGCCGATAATTACCGGTACCCTTTGCCTCGTTTTCCCTTTTTTTTGCCTCCTGGGAGGCAAATGTATCCATGCCGCTACCCCTCGCCTCGGTTTCCTTTTTTGGGGGCCGCGCCACCGCTGGATTCGCTTCGAATTCCTGGCCAGAACGCACGCCACGAGAGGTCCAGGGAGTAGTGGTACCGCTGTTGGCG